AAAGAGGAGCCAGGAGGTGGCTGAGCGTCCCAGATATTTTAAAGCGAAAATCGAAAAGCTCAGCCAGGGGGTGGAAACTTACAGCTTCTGAAGAAGGCTGTGCAAAGGCAGAGTCACTGGGAGGAAACGACCCCACCAGAAACTGCAGGTAGGAAAAAGGCTTTCCTAAGCCACGCGCACCCCATGTTAAAAAGGGTTATTATGGGCCTTCCTTCCAAGGGGCTCTGGGTGATTAGGGCTATGATTTCACTTTCAGAGCAGAAGAGGCCAGCAAACCCAAAGCAAGTTGAGCAGGGACGATACATAGAAAGTTTCTTTTATACCCTGCTTTTCTCCCCAGTGGGGACCCCAAAGCGATTCTTCTTTTCTCCAACAACCCTGTGAGGTAGGTCAGGCTGAGAGTCTGGGACTGTTCCAAGGCCACGCAGCAAACTTCCATGGTAGAGTGGAGATTCGAACGTGGGTCTCCCAGATCTTGGTCCGCGATGCCCCACTTTTGTGTTTTGTTCCTTGCAAGGATCCTGCAAGTTTAGCAGCTGCACGGAACACGCAATAGGGACAGTTTCCCCCAGCATGACGGTTCAGGGATAGGAAATGCTTCTTCTATTGGGTTTCTGCTTGCCGGCCGTAGTTTCTGGAAAGCCCACAAGCGGGGCAGGGAGGCTAGGGCTCTCCCTTGTTGCTTGCTTCCAGCATATGACATTGTCCAGCATATGATATTCAGGGATACATTGCTGTTGCACATGGACGTTCCTTTTTCGCTACCACCACGCCTATTATATTTTGCTCGAGCCCTCTGATTCTTGGGCGCAGGCGGGTCTCGAACCGCAGCCAGAAGTGCAAGAGGACGCAACTAGCTTCAGAAACTGCAAGCGGCTCCCTGACGATTGGCTGGCGTCCCAAATGGGCGGAGCGTCCTCTTCCACCTGTAACTAGCCCGGGCATGTCTCTACGAAGCCGGGACGTGTCTGCACAGGTCCCGGGCAGAGCCGAGCCCAGTTCTTACGTTCCACGTTTGGTGGCAGGGGTCAGAATGCCTTTCCAGGTACAGGCAGGGCGTCACACTGACTGTGGGGGAAAGGGATGGGGGTTCAGGACTGGGCTTGAAGGAGGGGGAACTGGTCTTCTCTTAGGGCTGAAATCTCGTGCAGTCTATGCAGTCATCGATGGGAGTCAGGAGGCTTACTTCTGAGTAATAAACATGCCTAGAATGCTGTCACTCTTGCTGGGGAGGGGATAGAAAATTGGTGGGAAAGACCATGCAGGGAGTCGTGCGCGCTCTGCCATCGCTAGTCCAGAGTGATTTGAATTGTAACTGGGGGGGGGGGGGGATTTTGGGGGCCGGGGGTGCTTGTTGCTCCTTTTAATAGACGTATCATGGCCCAGCTCGGAGCTTTTTTGCTCTGCTTTACAAAATTATTATTATTATTATTAGTATTAGTATTGCAAACCAGTAGTTGTGCTTGCAAAAAAACCGCACAACTTCGTGTTAGAAATTAAGGGATTCACCCTGCTCGCTTGCATGGCACCGAAGTACAGTCGGTAAATGCAAATCCTATATAAAGAGCCGTTGTTTTAAATCTGACACTGCAACAATTAAAGCCGCTTCAAAACGATCCCGCAAAACAGCTTTCATTCATTCTGCAGCCGGCCCCAAAATGCACCACCTGTCCAGAATCTGGATTAAAAACTAGTTTATGGGAAGACTGTTCACTCCCTCCCCATATTTCCCTTCGGTGCCTCTGCACCCCCCCCCCCCCCCCCCCCCGTTTATTTTACAATTGTAGGTTTGTCAGGAATCCTAGAGTCACCTTTGGAATTTTGCAAGGATCCTGGTACGGATTCTACGCTTTATCAATACATTAATTATAATGCATGCAAATATTCAGCAGGTAAACATGCTGGGGGAGGGGAGGTCCCTATGTGAGCAAGAGGCAGGCTTGAATTTCCCTCCTCACTCATGCCTTTGGGCTGTCTTTCAGCTCTCCATCCCCAAAGGTTGGCTCTAGGACTCTCAAAAGAGGGTTAGTTGGAAGTAAAGCTAGCAGGATGTGTGGGGGTTGTATCCTCAGGCCGGGGAGAAAAGGGGGCTTGGAGGACTGGGAGGGGCGCGCGCTCAGGTCCACCAGTGACCTGGAACAGACCCTTTGCATTGTGCCTCAGTTTCCCTGCTGTGTTCTGCGGGAAAAGTGGCATTTGCTCGGCGCCTCTTGGCACAGTGGGGACACCTTGAGTCCTCTCGGGAGTGGAGCAGGAATCCAGCAGTGCCTTAAAGATGCACCCGCATTTATTCCCTCCGTAAATGGTTGGTTTTTGTGGCATGCCTGAGCTCCTGTTTAATCTTGCCAGAGCAGACCCACATGGTGCAGGCAAGTTCTGTACCAAGCATCTTCCTCGGTTCTCCAACGCCAGTCCCCTTGCTTTGAAAGGGGTGTTTGTGTGTGTGTGTGTGTGGGGGGAAGTAAAAGCCTTCTGCACTAGCTGAAGATATAAGGAGCTGTCATCCCCAAAGAAGCGCAAGTTCAGCTGTGACTAACCCCCCCCCCCCAAAACCTCTCTTTTTTGTCTGTCTTGACAGACCCCCCCCCCCCCCAGACTGTCGATTTACCTTTCCTAATAGTTGGCCCCTCTTGTAAAGCGTGCCAGTGCCGGGATCCTCGATGAAGTATTTCAAAGTCTCCCCCTCGGCTTTCCTCCGGGATGAATACTCCATCCGCCCCATGGCTGGTGCCTGGCAAAACCTCCGATGCAGAAGCGAAGTGGGCTCTCGTTCCCAGCCCCCCTCCCTTCCCCTCCCCTGCCCTCCCCTTCCCTGCTCCCTCCGGCTGCTGAGGAGAGTCTGACCCAGCCGGCTCCTGCCCGGGCTCCTTATCAAGACAGGGCGTGGGGATCGCAAGATCCTCCTCTGCCCCAGCCTTGCCAATGGGACAGCGGGAGGCCAGGGCACACAGTAGGAGCAGCCTGCCGCTGCAATTTATTTTGCAGTGGCGAGAATGGGGGAGATGGTTACTGAAGAAGCAAAGTCTTTTCTTCCTCCTTGTAATGAATATTTGTGCTCCCTCCCTTCTGTATAGGGGCAGGCGAGAAACGGCTGTCCTCCTATAGCTGGGATCTGTCCCCCAAACAACTATGCTGCAGGCTCAGCCTCTGCCTGCTGCGTCCATGCTCTCTGCAATAGCCACTTTTATTTAAAAGCTGGAAGAATGTTTGTGCAGTAGGGAGAGAGAGAGAGAGAGATTGGATTTATGCCCCACCCTTCCCTCGGAGTCTCAGAGCAGCTTACAAACTCCTTTCCCTTCCTCTCCCCACAACAGACAACCCTGTGAGTGCAGAGCGCTCGCTCTCTCTCTCTCTCTCTCTCTCTCTCTCTCTCTCTCTCTCTCTCTCTCTCTCTCTCTCTGCTCTTGAGAGAACTATGGCCTTCCCAAGGTCATCCAGCAGGTGCAAGTGGAGGAGTGGGGAATCAAACCCGGTTCTCCCAGATTAGAATCCTCACACAACCACGACACCAACGATGTGTTACTGGGAGTTCAAAATACATTAAATGAAAAAAATGTGTGTGAAACTGCAGGTGGTGCTCTGCAGGGTGCCGTAGCATTAATGTGTATGCATCTATGCTAAAGGGGACGCTGCCAGTCCTCGTTCTGAGATTTCTGTCCCGGAGATCCTGGAAAGGGAGTGGAGCCCTTTGGATGGCAACTCAAGTATAGCACTGTAACATAGGGAAGGGGGTGCAATGGCTGAGGAGGAGGCCTAACTGGTCGGCATGAGCCTAAGCTGGTTGCCAGGGGAAGACCACGGTGCCATCACCTAGGGCGGGACTGGTTGATAGGGTCGGCTGCAGCCCCGAGAGGGGAAGGAACCCCATTGCGTTGGAGAGGACAAAGGGGGCAGAGGCGATCAGGACCTCTCCCCTGGTTGCCCTGCTGACAGAGGCTATTTTTGTGGAAAGGAGCCGGGAGCCCACGGAGTAGGAGAGTCCTTAATGACACTCAGCAGTTGAGAGAACCAGGTGGCCTTGCAGGGAGTGGCATGACTCTCCTTCCAGTGTGGTGTAGTGGTTAAGAGTGGCAGATTCTAACCTGGAGAACCGGGTTTGATTCCCCACGCCTCCACATGAGTCCAGCTGTGTGACCTGTGTGTCAGTCACAGTTCTCTCAGAGCTGTTCTCTCAAGAGCAGTCCTCGAAAGAGCTCTCTCAGACTCACCTACCTCACAGGGTGTCTATTGTGGAAGGCGATTGTAAGCCGCTCCGAGACTCCTTTGGGTAGTAAAGAGGAGAGGATAAGACCAACTCTTCTTCTTCTTCCCACAAGACTGGAACTGGAATAATGCTCAGAAATAAACGTGAGTTTGCTTTACTTACCGTCTCGTGGTGCTTGAACCAAGTCCTAGAGGGTCGATCACTCCCGAGCCTGCTGCCTATACCCACCCTACCACCCATCTACCTTATCACCAATGTTCCCTCTAAGCTGTGGAGTCTTGTGAGCAAAAATTCTACTTTGTGAGCTACTGGCATTAAAGCTGTGAGCAAGCGATTTGGCTGCTGCATAAATTAGTTTGCTCCAGAGCCATCCTTCCTGAGCTAAGACAAAAATGTGTGAGCTGGAGGCTAAAAACTGTGAGTCAGCTCACACTAACCCTGCTTAGAGGGAACACTGCTTGCCACCCCCTTCCCAGGTGGGGCTCGACAAGGACCCAGCTACTACAGCAGTGGAGAGGCCAAGGACCTCACCCATTGAAACTGGCAGGGGCTCAGCCGGCACTATCACGGAGGCCGAATCAGGACTTGTCGAGCACTTGCTGCAGCAGATGGGCGAGCTGTAGCAACAGGGGCTGGAACACTTAGTGGCCAGGCCGCGTGAGACCCAAAGGTAAGGGTGGGACACCCCAGTGATCATCACCCCGGGACCACAGGGATCAACACCTGGCCTTCATCCAAAGTTGGCAAAAATGGAGCCACATGACAATCCAGAGGTCTTCCCGCATACATTTGAGAGGGTCGCCCAGGTAACCCCTTACCTGATGGGACCGACCCAAGAACTGGCAGACCCTACTCTCTGTGAAGAAGCTGTAGGAGGCCAGCAGAGACCCTATTTCAAGAAGGAGGGAGATCTGCTTGACTGTCTTGTACCAGGGCAAGGCGAGGAAAAGGACCTCACCCACCTGCTAGTTCCTTCCAGCTGTAGGCAGCAGCTGATCCGACTGGGACATGACTTGCCGTTGGCGGGACATCTAGCAGCAGAGGAAACATTGGCAGGGTTGACCCAGTGGTTCTACTGGCCGAGTGTTGGGGCACAGGCTGAGGGATACTGTGCCTCCTGTCCTGAATACCAACACAGCCAACTGCTGGGTAAGAGAGGGTTGCTAGCTCTGGATTGGGAAATACCTGGAGATTTTGGAGGGTAGAGCCTGTGGAGGGGAGGGACCTCAGCAGGGTATATTGCTATAGTGGCCACCCGCCAAAGCAGCCGTTTTCTCCAGGGAGATCTCCAGGTGCAACAGCAGGAGATCTCCAGGCTCCACCTGGAAGTTGGCAACTTGAGGGTAAGGGGGCCCTTTGATACCTATGCCCCTCATAGAGGTTTCTTTCAAACAGATAGGGTTAGACCTAGTGCGGCCAGTGGAGCGCTCCACAGGGAGTCACACCCATATTTGGGTTCTCGTGGATTATGCCACGCATTACCCGTTGTGCAGTGGAAGGAATAGCACGGAAGGTGATTGAGGTCTTCCCTTGGGTCAGAGGTCATTTTGGGGGGGAACGCGGGGGAACACAGTTCCCCCGGGTGAGGTGCACGGGGGCGGGGCACATGATGAAGCCCCGCCCCCTGCTTCCGGCCGCCCCGCTTCCAGCCCTCATTCAGCCAGGAGGAGGCAGGAGAAGAGGGAGGGTAAGTTGCTTCCTCCCCGCCTCTCCCCACCCCTGCCTGCCTGGGGCCAGGGAGGGCCTTGGCAGGGCTTCCTCGCACTCCCGCTAGCCTTGCAGGTCCACCGCCGGGCCCCTGATGTCAGGGGGTGTGGCATATGCTAATGAGTTATGTTAATGAGTTCCCCTAGCTCTTTTTCTATGAAATGACCCCTGCCTTGGGTAATTGAGGTCTTCCAAAGGAGGTCATATCAGATCAGGGCCCTAACCTCATAGGAAAGGTGTTTCAACAGCTGTGGCAGCTGTTACACGTTAAAAACCCCCACATGGAAACAGCCGTGCACCACCCACAAACGAATGGGTTGAGGTAGAGATTCAACAAGACCCTGAAACAAATGTTTAAGACGTTTGTAAATGGAGGCACCCCAGCAATGGCACCAGTGGTTAGGTTCCCTGATGTTTCTGGTACTAGAGGGCCCCCGGATGTCCACGGGGTTTTCTCCATTTGAGTTGTTGTTCAGAAGGAATCCAAGGGGGATCCTTCACCTGGTCAGGGGACACTGGCAGGGAAATGACCCCTGCCTTGGGTAATTGAGGTCTTCCAAAGGAGGTCATATCAGATCAGGGCCCTAACCTCATAGGAAAGGTGTTTCAACAGCTGTGGCAGCTGTTACACGTAACCCCCCGTGCACCACCCACAAACGAATGGGTTGAGGTAGAGATTCAACAAGACCCTGAAACAAATGTTTAAGACGTTTGTAAATGGAGGCACCCCAGCAATGGCACCAGTGGTTAGGTTCCCTGATGTTTCTGGTACTAGAGGGCCCCCGGATGTCCACGGGGTTTTCTCCATTTGAGTTGTTGTTCAGAAGGAATCCAAGGGGGATCCTTCACCTGGTCAGGGAACACTGGCAGGAGCAAGGGGTATGGGGCCAAGGGGTAGTGTGATATGTGATCCAACTCAGAGGCAAGTCACAAGTCCTGGCTAACAGAGTGCAAACTAATTTAGCGGGGGCGAAGGATAGGCAGAAGCGGACCTGTGGCCATCAGGACAAGCCCTGTGCTTTCATGCCAGGGAACCGACCACTAGTGTCGTCGTCAAGTTGTGCCTCTAAGCTTCATGTGCAATGGCAAAGCCCCTTTACCATGGTCAGGAGGTTAATCTTTTAAAGGCCTGGCATATGTGAGAAAGCTATGCACCGGTGGTGTTGGCTCCAGGAGACCCAGAAGGACTAGACCCAGAGGAGTATATCTAGAGGGGTGCAAGAGACAAGGGACTTGGAAGTAGCGTATTGGGGTGTACTGTCAGGTCCGTTGGGACAGGCCTCCCTAGTGGAAGATGCCACTGAGACACTTCCCCCATCCTGGGTCAAATAGCGTGGGTGGAACATAGACCCTGGCTTCAGGCAGTAGAAAAACTGGTGGAAAAGGAAGTGGAGGTCATGTTATGCCTTGGAGTGATAGAACGGAGATGTTCCACCAGGCCTATGGCTGAGATGGCGGAGACCTATCGGTATTGGCCTCCCCCTGCTTGGTTCCATCTTGCATTGTTTTTCTCGTTTGCCCACTCCCTCAGTATTAGTTACTATCTACTGCGCACATATGTGCAGTTTATCCGGGAATAGAGGTATCAATTGGCACCATTGATAGCCATGTGGGTGTATTACTGATTGGTGTTTATATTGGGGTTTTCATGATTGTGATATCTATGTTTTAACTCTGGTATTGCATTGTTTTATTATACTGTTGTAACCCGCCCTGAGCCCTGCAGAGGAGGGAGGGCTAGAAATCAAATAAATAGATACACACGGAGCCCCTGGCAAAGCCCCCCCCCTGACCTAATGCCTCAGCCAGCCCTAACCCAATGGATTCGTCTGATTTTGTACCAATTTCTGGCAACTCAGCCGCATTTGACAATTTGATGCATACCTCATGCCCAGGGTGGATGACT